CATTGAATTTTTTATTTTATTTTTTCTCATCTAGACAATATATACATATATTCACTCAATTAGACAATCACTTCACTTACTCTTATTGCTGACTAATTGGACAAACGCGACCAAAATTAAACCTAAAACAACACCACTTGGAAGTGGATGATTGCAATGGCTGTGAACAAATTGGCCATGCTCTGTGGGTCCCTTCAAGTCGCTACTTTGAAGTTTGAACCGGATCATAAACGGCGTCGTCTTATCGGAACACGTGTCAACCGTGTATTGGCCGATCAAAAGACAGGTGTTGCGAACCCAAAAGTTAGGTCAGGCCAGACGTCGCTGGATATTTTATTATTTATTATTATTATTTTTTATTATTTTTATTAAAACGTTGCTTATTGGTGGAGGGGTTGAGTTTCTTTGTGGGGCCACATTCCACATTGACCCTTCCTTTTCATTTTTTAAAAAATTATATCTCTTTCCTATTTTACGTTTTTTCATATTCACTCTTCACTTTTTCTCAAATCATTCATCTCTATCTTCATTAAATAAAATTATTACTGACAAAAAAAAAAAATTCTTAAGTAATGTGCAACTTCTCAAAACGACATATATTAAAGATAGGAAGTAGTACTACACATTACTGAAATTTTCATTTTTATTTGTGATTTATTAATTCCAATATTTTATTTTTAATAATAAATATTATATATATATTTAAATAAATTATTTAATCATGCATGTTTGGTCTCTTTTGCCCACTTTGTTTCTAATAAATGCTAATTTACGACTATAATTAAGTAATAACTAACACATTATTTGTCATGTTTGGTAGACCAATAAACTAACTTATAGCTTATTTGATTAGCTTATAAGCTCCCTGTATTTAAATAAGACTTGTTTGGTAGGACGAGCTTATTTAAAAAGCTCGAGCTTATTTGATAAACTTTTCAAATAAGCTAGTTGAATTTTTTATTCCAGCTAGCTTATTAGCTAATTTTACCAAACACTTTTATCATATAAGCTAGTTTATCAGCTATAATAAGTCATAAGCTATAAACTAAAAAATTACTGATAAATTATAAGCTAGCTTATCAACTGTCAGCTAGCTTATCAGCTAGATTTACCAAACATAGTCTAATAATACAACATAAAAAAGAAAGAAAGCATTACATTATTTTTAGATGAATGTTCGGTGTGCATTTGTGACCAATATATATATATGGTGATCTTCATATTATATTTTAACTTTTAGAAAGATATTATTGCAACAGACAACATAATTAACAGACCGCCCCATCATATAATAAAAATGGATATTTATATTATTAAGTAATATACTTCTATTTATACTATTCTTTTTTAAGGGTAAATTGCGCCAAACCCCCCCTGTATTATACGAAATCTGTGCCTTATTCCCCTGTATTTTAAAAAATGCGTCATACCCCCTTGTATTATACTTTTGATTGCGCGTTATCCCATAAACCGTCTAACTTGACGGATGTGCATTTCACGCGCGTGTGGTGCGACTTTTTCTCCATTTTTTTGCCATAAACTCAAGGAAATGACTATTTTGCTCCTTAATACCTAAATCAAATTGCAATTAATTTAAACTTCTGAAAATTGCAAAGCAGCCCCTCACTTTAATCAAATTTTCAAATCAAGGTTTTGCAACATCAAATTCAAAACCCTATTTCACGCAGCTTGCTCGCCCATCGC